TGACATCTTGCAGAATAATGTCCTTTGCTATTTTTAACCTCACTTCCTTTCACAAAGTACATCCAAACATTTTGAAGATGGTCGTCCAATAATTCATGAATTTCTGAATTATGTAATTATGCAAAATATACAATAAATCTCATTTTTTTAATTCAAATAACTGTCACATAAGATGAAAATAATTCCTCTAATGGACCTCCTTTTACTTTATACCATTGTCAGCAGTCGATAAAAAATAAATAAATTTATTATAAATTTTCTTAGATTAATTATTATATATACATACAACTAATTATATATTTTAAAAAATGTACTATATACAGTATGTTTTTGGTTTAGGATTCGATTTTTGACCGAAACCGAGATTTTTACCAAAAGTGTTGCGTTAATAGAAATAATGCTCTCTTTAAATGTCAAACCCGTTTTTTAACCAGAAAAAACTTGAACGTTGACACGATCAGATTTATTAGCATCAGTAGATCGTCGGCGCCGGATAAATAAATAATAAACTGCCACAAGAACAATAAGAGCCGTGCCAACAATTGATCCCAGAATTATGCCTACAGCTCCAGCCATTGAAAGTTGAATATCAGAAGTTGACACGGTGGAGGGTGAGGCTATGGGCGCGATTGTGGACGAGGTTGTGGGTGAGGTTGTGGGTGAGGTTGTGGATGCAGTGGTGGATGTAGCGGTATCGTGTTTTATTAAATCGTGTTTCCTGTTGAAAGTTGAAATGATGTAATTAAAATCTCGATTTGCATATGAGAAATGATCTCAAACTCAACATACCCTAAAATATTCCATGCTTGTACATTTGCACAATCATCTTGAGTCACGTTGGCGACAGAGTCAGCGCCCTTCATACAAAGATTAGAGAATACGTTCTATTTTTGAGGATGTGTGTTAGTTAAACAATTTATTAGTGATTGTTATTTATTATTAGCATTAAATTTTCGAATTTTTACCTTTATCGTGCATTTAGTGTGGAATGGTACCCAGTCATCCGTGGAACTTGTCTGAATATCACAGACATCACATTCGATGGAAAATTTTTGGTTATCCCTATTATTGTTGTTGTTAATGCTTTAGGGACAAAATAAAAAAATTTATATATTATTATTATTATTATAAATATATATAATAAACATAATTGTATATAAATATTTGATAGGAATGCGGAAGAAGGATTATATGTTAAAACTAACATAGTATTAATTTGGAGACTGTCACCAACTATTTTACTTCCAGATGGAACTTCAATGACTATATATATTACAATGAATAGAATGACAAATTCCAAATTAATTATCAAAAGATTATTGATTGAGAGACAAATAAAACATTTAAAATTATCATAATTACCAGCATTTTGGTTAAAATCCCAAAATGGCTGGATCTCATAAATGCCAGGACTTGATTGAATCAACACGAAAACTTCATTAAAAGCTGGTATATTACCAGAATTAAAAGTAATAATCTTTGTGCCTGGATTACTATTCAATTTTAAAAAACATCTCATTGAAATAAAGTTCAAAATATTATTAATACAGCAAATAAAACTTTCTATGTATCTTACAGAAAACCCATGACAATATTAACTCGCCAATTTTGAGAAATGGAGTGACTTATTGAAATATAATTGTCAATGATTTTTGGAAAACATGATAAAGCAAATTCTGTGAAAGTACCAAATAATAATACGAATGATAAAACCCATCTCAATGAATGCATATTTAAAACGATATTAATCTTCCATATGAATAACAGTCTTCTTAAATACATGTTATTATGTCGCACAAAATAGTATTTGAAACAATAGGGGTGTTCAAAGTTGTTCTGTTTCTGTTTCCGTTTCCTGTTCCTTGTTGTACAATACTTGCATCTATCTTTGATACTGATCTACATAATAATAATAAATTTAAAGAATATTTTAAATTTATGCATACCTAATATAAATAATTATTAAAATGTCAACTCATTGTTTCTAAATCTATTTCAAGAAGTGACTGGTTCAGATGGATTTGATGAAAGTTTTGATGAAGATGAATTGCTCTTTAAATATTTTGTTGTTGTTTGTCATTATTAATAGAAGAAGTTGCCCTTTGAACTGGATAAATACTTTGTTGTTATTGTTCATCATTAATAGTGGAAGAGGCTACCCTTTGAACTGGGTAAATGCTTTGCTGTTGTTGTTTGTCATTATTAGTAGAAGAAGTTAACCTTGAACTGGGTAAATACTTTGCCATTGTCATTACTAGTAGAAGCTACTTTTTGAACCGGATGAATACTTTGTTGTTGTTGAGGTTGTTGAGATTGTTTGTTACATAGCTATTTTTAATATTCTTGTTTTTTTTGTTTTCGTTTTATTATTTTTTTTTGGAAATTTTTTTTTAATGTTTATTTGTTTTTAACGTTGTGTACGTATGAAAAGTTTGCACTCAGTTTATTAATGGAAAACATTGTCAAACTTGACCAAAGAATACAAATAAGAAAATATTTTGCATAAAAAACATCGGCCGTTCTTATATAATAATTTATTATTATGTATATTAGTCTTAGTTTTACAAATATATTCAAATTTTTAAATAATTATTATTTGGTAGGTATTATTTAAAGACCGAACCGTATTTTAAAACAAACAAAATATTAGACATAATTATTTTATTTTTAAAAAAGCAATTGAAGAAGAAAATCATTGGCGTGAAGATAAAATTTTGTGAATTTTGCAATTCACGTACGTGAAATTCAAATTAGCCAATCAGAATTTCATATCCAAACATCCCAAAATTTTAATTATAGATTTCAATTTCACATAATCATCTAATTAGACATTTATCTATCACAATGGGAAACAAGAAATTTTGCATGCATATTCTACAATCTAATGTTTACTTATTATGTGCATTTTGCGTAAATTGATACGCCGAAATTTTTACTGTAGTAGTTATTATGCATCATTTTGTTTTGATTGAATTCACTAAACAGGTAAACAGATGATTAAATTTATTTTTATCAAGAAACATAATAAATTTATAATAATATAATAATTAAATTATAGATAATCCTTGTTTCAGCGAAGGAAACTAAAATTTCAATCAATTCAAAATTTACCTAAAAGTGCTTTAAATATCTATCTGACTGGCATTATGTAAAAAGTTAAAAATATAAATGAAATTGGTTATACTGAGATATAATTTCATATATGCGGAATTTTTAAAAGTTATTTTGAAAATTTTGTGACACCTCCAAAATACCTTTATAAAAAAAATTTCTACGGATTATTAATCGAGTGTACGGAAAGATTATTCACATAGCTTGCTTGGCTATTGGGCCTTTACGTTTTAAAATTTATCTAAATTTCCATTATTATAGTAAAAATCAATAAACTGATAACTTTGAACCTTTTATAAAAATTTTTTTTTACTAATATAAATAAAAAAAAATCTCTGATAGGCTATGAATCGAAATATAATTGCGGAAAGATAATCCACACAGCTTGCTTGATTATCGAGCCATTACATTTTAAATTTCCGTTGTTTATAGTAAAAACCAATAAAATTGACAAATTTGAACCTTTATAAAATTTTTTTTACTAATATAAATGAAAAAACTCTCGGATAGGCTATTATTAATTGAGTGTTTCACACAACTTGTTTAGTTATTGAGCCTTTATGTTTTAAAGTTTATCTAAATTTCCACTGTTTATATTAATAGTAAAATCAATAAAATTGATAAATTTGGACTTTATAAATTTTTTTTTTACTAATATAAATGAAAAAAAAACTCTCTGATCGGTTATTAACTGAATGTTTGGAAATACAATTGCGGAAAGATTATTCTCACAGCTTTTTTGGTTATTAAAGTTTATCTAAATCTTCCTGAACTATTACTATTACTACGTTTGATGATCAACCATTGTGACCAACCCCAATAAAAGGTGCAGAGATAATGAATACCAAAATTAATTGTATATAGATATTTTTAAACATTGATTATGATCAAAGATAACAAATAATTTTAATGAAAATTCACATTTACTTGTTTGTAACGAATTGGATATTGATCTTTATAGCCAATTTATTATTGACATTCTGGATATTAATTATTTAACAGGCTATCAACAGAAAACGCCTGTAAAATCAACAACTTCAACACAATTATCAACAACACTCTATATATAATTGGAACAACCCAGAAGAAAATCAATAAATTATCTTTGATAACGAGAAAAATTTTGACAATAATAATGATGATGACAATCAATGGTGATGCCGTTGTTGTTACTACAAGTGGACCAAAAAAAAAATAATAAAAAAAGAAAAAAATGATGGATATAAATTCTATTAAATTACATTATTCATATTTTTATAATATTTATTTAAGTATAATGAATTTTTAGCTAATAGTTTTGATGCATGTAACCTTTTATATTTTATAAAAAGTATTAACACGTTTATCATTTGCCTCGTATACCAAAACTTGTGTAATTTTTTATGTCTTCAGGTAAAATCATGGCTCAATTTTAAATGATTAAGGGTTAAGGGATAAGGGATAAGAATAAGGATTAAGGATTAATTACCTTATTAAAAATCTTTTAAAAATAGATATTTGTTACGCCAAATTTTATTTTTTCGAAAAAAAAAAAAAAAATCGTATAATAAAAGTGCGATCGCTCTTTTCTTTGACACAAAGTTTCTCAAAACATTTAATTATTATAAAATAATATATAAAAAAATGTTGTCAGAATCTTTTAAATTCTTAACATTTGCTCTTTTAATTATTACGATTTTATCGAATGTTTTTATCAATGCATCGCCAATTCTCTCAGAAAAACGTAAAGTAGACGACGGTATTGCTTATGCATGTATTGTTATTGATAAACAAGATGTTACTGTAATCCGCTTTCCACAAATTTCAAAAAACACCGTGCGTATAATTGGACAATTCAACTCTGGTTTTACAAGTGAAAATAAAAATGATTATAAATTCTTGATAGTTGATGGTGCTGGTAAAGTAAAAGTTGATCTTACTGATAAAATTAGATCTCAATTGCATATTAATGTTCCTGGAACCAGTCCATTCGAATGTGACGAAGAACTTACAATTTCAGATATATTGGGTTTGATTTTAGTTGTAATATTACAGGGCGAAGAAATCGGAAGAGGTCAAATCAAACGTTAATAATTAATACAATTAATTGTTATTGTTTATTATGTATAATGATGATTTTTAATGTATTAATATTATTAGTTCTTCTAATATTAATGCTTTCTTGAGAATTTAAATCATGTATTTTCTTTAAAACAATTTATATTAATATTTTCGAATAAACAGATACGTACATGTTTTTAATAATTGGCAGTGGCTGTGTGTTGTAATTTTTATATTAGTGATATGAAAATTTTGGCTGGGATGTAGCGGGCTTGATTTTCATTGTAAACTTAAAGGCCCAGAAATCAAAAGAGATCAAATCAAGCTTGTATAATTAATTCAATTAAATTTTTATTACGTGTAATGTTATTTATGATGATTTTAATGTATTGATATTAATATTATTGATTCTTCTAATATTATACTTCTTGAGAATTAAATCATTCATGTATTTTCTTTATTATTTATTTTATAATTGTTTGTACAAAAAAAATAAAATGCGCGCGCAAGGTTTTTCTATAAAAATTGTGAAGTATTCATAATAATTAGAAAAAAAAATATTACTACTATTTACTATTATTATTACCAAAATCCGTTGTCGTTGTTACGCGATTTAATAAAATTTTTTAGATCATTTGTTATTTTATTTATAATAATAATAATAAATGAATTTCAAGAAAACAATTATAAAAGAAAATCTTTTCAATGTTGGTGGTGATTATTGATGTAACTCGTTACTCTAGTTAAAAATACAAAAAATATATATGTTAAACATCAACTGCTTAAATTGTCTCACTAAATGAAAAAGTAAAAGTTGTCCGTCCATTAAGAATTATTGCTGGCTGAGATGATTGCTTACAATCTGTTGGATCAATGGCTATTTATCTTAATACTCAAATCAACTCTCCTTTTAAAGTGTTCTTTATAAAATTCCTAGAAAAATAGGAGGAGAATATCAAAGCGTCCTAGAAGAAGAGAAAAAAAAAATATGTAAAAACAATATCGCCGCCTTCACTGCTTAATCCAAAAGAGGAATCGATGATAATCACTGTGGCGTTGAGTGAGCCTATTTTGTGGCTTCCTAATATTAATTTCAGAATTCGAAATGTAACAATTTTTGCTCTATTCCTTTTCGTGCTAATGTTATAGTCTCACGTCAACTTGACACGTAGACATTTTAATTATAACTCATCATCCAAGAGCTATATAGACGTTTTAAAAAGTCATACATCCCATTGACTTGGGCACAATGATTTACTGTAAGAAGTTGTGATGATGAGGCACAACCAATTGAAATTTCTTTTAATTAAAGATAACTTAATTATTTTAATAGCATTGAAAATTATTATCATGAAACAAAAAAATTCTACAACTACCACAATTACTGCGACTTCAATTCGTTATTATTAAAAAAAATTTCATTGAAAATGCCATGTGAAAGTGCCTAGATAGTTAATTGGATGGGCGTTCACATAATTTGATGAAGAACCTTAAAAAAATATTTTTTCTTATGAGGGGGATCAGTACAAGACTAAGTTTTGGAAATGGCAATTGGAAATCTAAACCTTCAAAAAATTCCTTTTCCATAACAAATTTATATATATAAATATTTGAAAATGCTTCTTGTAAATAATTTATTGATAATGGAAGTTTGAACAAGAAAAAAATTAAAATTAAAATCATAAGGAAACCAAAATTCTACTATGATGATGACGAGATTAATTAAAAAATAAATTATCTTCATTTCTTTTGCTTGCTTGCATTAATGTCACTGACCACCAATCCTGTTTTTATTTTATGAATTAATTATTGTTATTATTGTTATTATCCATTAAATAAATATTTCTAAATGTTTACCTGTTGGAAGAGATTCCTGTAATTTTTCTGCTTTCTTTACATCTTCAATTACAATAGTGTACAAATATTTTGAACATCTAAGCTTAAATTTTACCTTCGATACATCATTCTTCTTAATACGAACAGCTTTTAATATAAAAGTGTATGCGTGTGTTAATCAATAGGATAAAAAATAAACCATAAATATATAAATTACATTTTGCATCTTTTCTATGCGCAACTTCAAGAAAATCTTTAATACCAAAAATTTGTTTTGGCTAGAAAAAACAAATTGAAAATGTTATTTTTATTAATAATTATACAACATTGAATCTTTACTACAATTATCATTCATCCTGTTATTTATTCCACCAAAAAAATTTTTTTTAAAATTTGAAGATTCTAATCGATTGATCATCATATAAAATATATAAATTGGTCTACACCCACAGAATTACTATGCGTTTGAAGCAATATCCATTTCTCACAAAACATGAATTTGAATTGGCAGCTAAAGCATTTCTAAAACAATCAACTAGATCAAGTGAGGTTTGGATGTGGGTTGAACATAAGGTATTTATTTATTATTTATATATATATATATATATTAATTAATTAACAAGAAAACTTTTAAAAAACAAATAAAATCATTTATTTAGAAATTAAAAAATTATGGATACTTGTCATTGAAAACTTTGATCAAAAGTAAAGATAATTCCAACACATCGACAATGACCAATAACTCAGTTGATAAAATTGATGTATCTATAAAAGCTAATGATGATGAAGGTCACGAAGAAGAGGAACATGAAAATGATGGTGATGAGATAATTGAGGATGATGATCCTAGTGTGTGTAAATTCACCACTAGTACAAATCTCTTCATCACTGGGGAATACCTCACTGTTGATTATCATATCATCTATTCATCAGTTTACCAACTTCCCGTTTTATATTTTAATGCTTATCGAACTGGTATAAAATAATGACTTTTTAAAATAGCAATAACAATAGCAATAATAATAATAATAATAATAATAATAACACACGGCTAATTAATTTAATTAATTAATAGATGGAACAGCTTTAACAATGTCTGAAATTTATATAAATCTTGTGGAATCATCATTTAGAGTCAATGATCTTCAAAATTCTGGACTTCGTGGAGGATTATCTCAACAAGTTTTATTTCATTTTTTCATTAAATTTTATGAATTATTACTATAATTATTTTTCCTAAAATTCGTTGGCATAATTTTCTAGGATCATCCAATACTTATGATTCCATTCTATTATTTACATCCATGTGAAACAGCTACATTAATGAAATCTATTGTTTTTGAAGAAGAAGAAGAAAAAAATGATGATGATGACAATCAAGGAAAAATGAAAGGTAAAAGGATGATTATGCCTAGTTTAGAAGGATATATTAGAAGTTGGTTAAGCTTTGTTGGTCCAGTTGTTGGTATCAATGTTAGCATGGATAATTTCTTACCAGAAGAACAAGAAAATAATTAGCAATTTATTAATGAACTAGAATTTAGATGATTTTCATTGTTCATTATTAAATATATATGTAAGATCTTGAGCATAAATTAACAACTTTTGATTCTAAATATTTAATTACTATTAAAATTGTTATAAAATATGTAAATAAAATGATTCAGGGAAAAGATAGATAAAACAAAAAATGAAATTGTTTTGGAATAAACCCACTCATCAAACTCGGATACAACCTTACAATATCTAAGCTTTCTTCTTTCTCATAAATGTATCTATATATTTGCAATTCTTTTGTTCCTCAAGTTAATAAATGGGGCATGCCGCAACAAAACAAGACAAAGTGAACATTGGCATTACCAAGAATTTCAGGAATCAATCAATATGTTTGTCTAACATCACAACTATAATGTGATCATGATATTTGTCTAGATAATATGAAATTAATTTACATTAGGTTCCCAAGAATTATAGCATAATTAGAAGTATTTTGAAGAAAAGAACAAGGTGAAAAAATACTCATTGCAGGTAACTTTTCAGCCACCATTCCAGCAGCCTTCTCTGGTCTGGGAAGATTAGGCAAAAAATACCTTTATTCATTTTTTATTGGGAATATAGTTCATAGTCCCGCAACTTACAGAAAAAATCCAATGCGAGCTTTTTCTCGTGTTACACATTACACACACCATGCTGCGCGAGATCATCACATCGACATCAAAGTTAAGTTGGGTTTGGATTGCATCTTCTTTGTCGCAAAAAGCAAAAAAATGTCATCACTCATGCCAAGACAAAACATATAAATAGGACAGCCATCCCCACAATTTTTTTTTTTGTAGAGAAATTCCTCTTGAGCCATTTCAACGCATGGAACTCAACCTTTTACACTCAGCCACAATACCTCTGCCATCTTTGAACAATCAAGATAAAATTCAAGTTTACAAATGCACACGCTGTGTGAGCAAGTTTCAAACCATGAAATTATTATACAAAGTTATAGAAAATAGTCTAATTCATGAAAACTCCCCCCCCCCCCGCTGCACCGAGTGCTTCATAGCAGCATTATAGTATTATAATAATAAAACCACACGGTTCAATCATTTACATATTGATATACAGTCAGCATATTCGCTTGGAGCATCAAAATTAGCCAATTATATTATCATTTATTAAAAAATTTATAATAAAAAATTACTTATGCATAGAATCTAATAAATTTAACACGTGTCAAAGATTAAACAAAATTCGAAAAGTGGAAGTAGAAACTTCTTCGCCTTTGAATATAAATTCGTGTACAATGAAACAAATGATAAAAAAATAATATGATACTTAACGGATGAGCCCTCTCATCCACATCAATTCCATTTCAACCCTTCCATCACATCATCCATCCTATCCTCACATCCATCACGCCAACTAATACTTTCAAAAATAAATATACTTTCTGTCGGAAATTCCTAAATCACAGATTTGGCACGACACCCAAAGTCGTAAAAGTCGTAACCCGTAAAGCCGTAAATATAAAGCCATAAAATCGTAATAGCGATTATTTAAATATTATTATAATATTTATAATATTTATTTTCAAAAAAATGATTTATTAAATTATATCTAATAATTCTTCAGTAAAATTACTTCAAATCAAAACATAATAATAACAATTACGGGCCTTACGGCTTTACGGTTCACAACATTCATGGACGACAATACGACACGTGCCGTACTAGTATTAGTATTAGTGTTTATTTTTGTCTAGCAATTCCGATGACAGTTATACTTTGAAATCCTACTTTATATAATGAGGGCTCTGTGAGTGGGTCATTTATAATTTGTTTTTCATAAAATTAAGATTTATTCCTATATTACAGCTAGTTAATAAATTAGAAACATAAAAATTAACAGCAAAGTTAATTACATATTTACAAATTAAAATAAAATGAAGCTTACATGACAAAAAAAAAAAAATTAATTAAGGGTTATTTTACATAATAATGGTATAGAAATATTTAAACATTATCAGTCTTATCTAAAATCTCAAAGATCAGATTTTTCACCGATTTCAGGATCTCGCCCCTCATCCAATTCTTTTGGATCATTTCTCTTGCCAACATAATAAATTATCAAAATCGCAACGAGCACAAATCCCCAATAACTAAAATAACCAGCTGTTGTACCAACTGTTGCTTCTGCACGCCATCCAAATATTGTTTTCATAATTGCCCAGAATTCATTAGTCTCTTCATCACAACATGATGCATACCATAGCTCCACTTCCTCTGCTCCAGTTGCTTCTTGCAATTCATGGATTGAAAGTGAAAATAGACCAGCTGCTATGAAAAGAAGAAATGTCGAGGTAACTGTAAAAAATATATTTATTGATACTTTGTGAGATCCTTTGTAAAGGATCCACCCAAAAATGAATCCTGTCAAAAGCCCAAGAATTGCTGGAATTGGTAAATCTGATACAGGTCTATCAAATCCGATCTATTTTTTGAAATGAATGATTACTTGTCATGTGACATGGATGACTAATTGATTATGATGATAATAATAATAACTTACGCCTCCTATGAACACAAAAGTTTCGACAGCTTCACGACATATAACCGTAAATGGCAACAAAACCAATGCCCATTTATTACCAGTTTGGTGCTTTCTCAAATAACTTTCAGTTGCTTCTTCGAGTTTTCTTTCCCATTTTTTTCTCCATTGTTGAACTCTAGTCATACTTAAAGCCATAAAAGTAATTACAACAGAAGCAATAAGAGCAAATGAACCCTCTATATATATATATATAAATATATGATGCACGTAAATAAAGTGTAAAATGTAAATTACATGAATTCCAAAAATTTTACAGTGTACAGCCAAGCCAAACGGATGAACGGAACACATAAAAGAATTTCATTTTGCTATGACAAAGTTTGACCGTATATGAATTTTACTAACCCCATGCTGCTTCGTTTTCTTCCCATAAATTTTTTGCAACAGTATAAAAAACAACTATGAAGATAATACCAATTAGAAGTGAAATAGCCAAACCAGCACCTGTACCAATCCAAATTTGACGTTTAAGAGATCTTCTCATCGCGACATCTTTTTCTGGGACAAGTTTATCAATAAACCCAAGCAGTACGGCAAGGATAATTGTGACCTCAAGAGTTTCTCGTAAAAGGATGAAATAAGCGGGGACATCAAATAAATATACCATCTTAATTAATTTTTTTTTTGTTGGACGAAGACCGTAAGGTTTGACTTGATTTATTTACTGCCTTTTTATAAGAAAATTTAATTAAATGCTTGTGTAAACATTTTAATCATATTTAGTGTTTTGTTAATGCCAATCCTGTGTAAATATTTTTTAATTTGACCAATCTTTAAAAAATTTTTTACATAAAATTTAGATTATCGTAAATAAATAAATAAATATCTCTTTTTGAACTATAAAAAGACATGCAACTATTATTCGATTTTTGTAAAGAAACAAACATCTCAAAAAGTAAATTGTCCGCATCAGGTGTTATTTATTGTTGATTTAAAACTTTTTGAGAAGGGATTCCATCAGGTGCTTGATTTAAAAAAAATTTTTTTTGATCAATTTTAATGTTTTAGCCTCTTAATATTTTCCGTCATAAATAAACATCATAATCAGTTACTTTTTATTTTCTCTTACGTTATTTTATTAAATCAAATATTTTGTTAAAGAGGGAGGAAGAAATAAGATTTATTTTTTAAAGTTTAGCACTTTTGTAAATCTTGTATTGGTTACTTTGTTTTTATTTTGTGCTATATTACTACTTCATTGTTGTAATAAAAACTGAACCGGCTAATGAAAGAGACTATTCAAAACAAACAATAGCAAGAATTGGTATTGTTTATAATTGCATGACATGAATTCGTGGTCTTGAAATCGGAACCGACTTCAATTTAATACTCGACGTTGCCAAATTCCCCATATTTAGTTATATTGAAGCGATTCCAACAACAAATTTACTAATATTACTATTAATATTACAAGCTGAATTTTCAAATCAATGACATTGAGAAGACGATCATTCCTGCAGTGTATATGATTTTTTTAATGATTAAAAATTTTTAAATGCGTCAATTCTGCCAGTTTGGGGTTAGTAGTATAAACCTGCGCATAATTCCTCCCTCCATGATAATATTAATACAAAATGAAATCGTAATTCTGTAAAGAAAGGTTTTAGTATATACTAGCTTCAAAACTACGATTTTGTTTTTTTTTGGTTTTACATTTCCATTTTGGAAGGAATTAAAAGATCTACACAGTCAAGCAACTAAGTGACTCGCACCATTACATAATCAAAACTTTTGTGTCTGTATTTAGTTAATTGTAACCATCCGTTAATTATTATTATCAAGTTAAATGAATGAATTGGCTCAAAAATTTTTAATTAATAATGAAACAATTCTTGTATAATTTTATTTAATTACTTTGACATACGTAAACTCGATAAGTCGGTCACTCGATAAGTCGGTTTACTCGATAAGTCGGCCAAAATTTTCACCCCATTTTCTTAATATTTAAGTAATTTAATTCGATAAGTCGGTTTACTCGATAAGTCGGTCATATGAGCTCACCCCCACATGAGTTTACATATGTACCAGCATTCTTTTGTAATACTAATACTTAATTTTTGACTATCGAATCTTCGATTTATTGTGTAACTGTTACTGGTTCCAATAAAATTTGGTAATCTCTATTTCAAAATCATCTGGTACTCCCATTCATTCCATGAACCAATTAAAATTTATATGTATTTGTTTGTGGATTCCTTCTGTTTAATAACCATAAAATTAAGTTTTTCATCAAATGATCAAATTATTTATTATTGTTATATAAGGTTGCAGAACAGGTATATAATGCTTTACGAAAAAAAATCTTTTTGTTGAGATTTCAATAGTATATAACAACGTATACCGCTAAGCATGTTCCTTTTCACGTTTTTAATTATCAATCCTACCTATATAATAGTTTTATTAATATAAACAAAAAAGTATAACTAATGCGCCCTTTATAGTAATGGCATTTATTTACATGCAGCACAGGCATATGGCTGTCCTGGTCCTGTTTCCATGTTTCCATGTTCAACGTTACATGTTACCGCCAAATTAATAATATCAAACGCCTGATGATTGTATATTTTTTCTGTTTAGGCAATGATTTAATGAAGACTCCAATAGACCACCAATTGCCAACCCTGAAAAATTCCCAATGCAAAATTGACCCAAAGGATAATTCTCGATTGATATCATACAATTCATGTTCATCTATATGGCAAGCACTTACCTCAGAGAGCCATCTTCCACCTAGGATTGCCTATACCATTGAGAATAATCTGAGAATTCTCGATGAAATATTCAATGAACAGGTTGATAAAATAGAGCGGACAAGAAATCCTACTACAAATATACGGAGATGGCATCAACCAATGCAATTTTTCCAATCTGCTGGGAACACATATATAGATTTGGATGAAATGACAACATGATGAATATCTAGGGCGTATGGGACCGCGATGAAGTGATTAAAATACCAAGGAACATCCATATTCTTTCCTATTCTATTAGATAATTTCATAATCATAATAAAATCTTGATAATCAATAAAGTCATAACTCTCTTACTTTTATCATATAAAAAATCTTGCTCTTTAAATTCGTAGCGCGCGCAACCATTAAAATATGGATAATAATTAAGTAGTAAATTCGATTTTTTTCCCTTGTTAATATTAACTATTGCATGCAACGAATTCAAAGCTTACAAATTAATCGTAGGAATACAGTTAATAGTAAAATTCCAATTAACAAAAAAGAACAAAAACAATTTATTTTGAAAAATGTAAAAGATAATTGAATATCTTATCTTTTTATAGAAAAATATTATAAACTTGATAAATTCACTAATGTTTTTTAAATGATATGATATAACCAGGATCGGAACTATATTAATATATTAAAAAAAATCAATTTTAAATAATTTTACATAGAAAGAATGCAAAGATCGCCTAATAAATATTTGGGGAACTGGATTAAAACTGATTTCTTTATATCTGTTCCTAGATGCAAACATTATAATTGACTAGTAATAAAGAACCATCGCCACCACCATTATTAGAAGAAATTATTGTAGGTAATTATTATTTTTTTCCATCTTTTACTATATATGTAAAACATAAAGCAAGTGTAAAACTATCACATTAATCTTCCAGATGATGAAGAGAAAGAAGTAGGTTCAAACATTATATATGCTGAGCTCGGGATAGAAGATATGATGCCATATTATATAAGTATCCATCAATGAATATGTAGATTATTGCCTTCTTAAATCTATTGTTGAAGTAGTTTGTAGTCATTCATATGTAGTCCATCTTGTCCAGTATTATGCATAAAGAGTACGATGAATCAGCAACCAATATAATGTTACCAAGAAATCAAATACATGATATATTTAATGAACAATTGATATGGTAAATATTTTTTGAAAAATAACTATTAATCTATATAGGATGAACTGATAGAAATGGATTTTGGGAACTTGGATTATTACAAAAAACAATAACAATAGCATTATAAGAATAATAATAATAATCTAGATGAAAAGAATCTTTTTTTTCGGGAATCACAAGCCAATTCAATGCATCAAATATTAATAAAAGCATTACGTTCAATTTATGAACATCTACTAGAAGAAGTATTTAATCAAACAAAATCAAAAACATGATAAAATATTTCCTATGTAACTTTTCGTACCATTTCTAGAAAGTATAATTTGGCAAATTTTAATGGAATCCCATTATGGAACAAACCTTTAAGATGGATGAAATCTGTATTAATAATTCATATGGCTTATTTGATGGCAGTGTGGTGTACATAATACACACACACACATATATAATATGTATTTATAAAATATGAAGTAGAAGTAGAAGTATTCTGAATAGATTATGATTTAAAAAAAATTTTTTTTATTTATTCGGACAATGATTCTTCAAATGATTAGTGAAAAAGATGGTGGGAAGAATGTGATAATAATAATGGCAATGATTCAGAAGACGATACAAAAGATGATACAGAAGGTGAGGAAAAAGAGAATAAAATAAAAAAATGGATCACAAACCAAAAAATCATAAAATTGTTCTGTTTCTGTTTCTTCGATGTCTGACGACCGAAATAAATTCTGTCAACACAAATTTTTTTTTATACCGTTATTTGTCGAAATTAAACAAAATAATCTATTAAAGAAAATTTTAAATTGATTTATATTAATTTAAAATGTTTATTAAACAAATTATTAAAAATGTACTTTCGATCATTTCAAATCCATTTTTGGAAAAATTAAATAATTAAATAATTAATGTCCTTATTTTGTTAACTTGAATGAATAAAAATATATAAATAATTAATTCATTTATGATCTAATATGTTTGACTCTTCTACTTCCACCACCATCTTGTTGTTGTTTCTCCAATTTTTGTTGTCTTTTGCTTTTTTTCGCTGTTGATTCATCTAAATTATTTCCTCCAAATCCTCCTCCAAAATATCCTTTAACAAATGGTTGTATAAAAACTGACCAGATTTTATAAAATGCAAATCCTGGAATCTTTGAATATATAAGGCGAGTAAATAGTATAATAATAATTTAATATTGTGATGATGATATACTGTTAAAAGTAAGGAAAATAATAATTACTATTAAATAAAGCCGCCAAGCGAATTCAAAAAACATACTGGCCATATGTACAAACCAAGTAACATATATCACATCAAACATATATCTAAATAATTATTATCAATTAGCAAAAATAATATAGTCCATAAAATAATAATATTGATAGACAGTTGGATAGAAATAATTACGCGGTCAATCCTTCAGAATTCAGATCTTGACCAGACCAATCAATGCTACCATCATATCTATATCTTGGTGTACCATAGCTAATCAATTGTTTCCACAAGAATAAACTTACTGCCAATGTTAAACTATATTTTGTTGCTGTCCATATTGTAAAAGTGTCATAGTGATAAAGTATTCGATATATAAAATATATTAAATTGACAATCAAGAAACCTTGTTTTAAATTTTGTAAATACTTCAAATTTTCATGCGCAATTTTCTTTTCGGATTGTTTTGCCTTTTTGTGTTTTTAATTAGTGTTGAATATATTTTAGATAATAAAGTAAATAAATAAACAACTTACCATTATTTTAAAAAAATTCAATAACAAACAAAAACCTACAAAAATTGTAGGGGTCTAACTATATAGTTATATTTAGAAGTCACGCGAAAATTTTGATCACCAAATCAGAATATATGGTGCATGCTGCAACAAAACCAGACAAAGTGAATATTGGTATTACCAAGTATTTCAGGGTTCAAAATTTAGTCACTACAAATATAATGCAATTAACAATTTTATAATGCCCCCCATTTTGTTACCTTTCCTGTTTCTCAAGTGATATATAGAATTACCCCTATATAAAAATAGTTAATATGAAACTCATTTACATCAGATCTACCATGGAACCCAAAAATTATAGTACCATTAGAAGTATTCTGAAGAAAGAACAAGGCGAAAAAATTGCTCCCTACATTTTCAAAATAAATGATACTCAAATGCTGGAAGCTTATCTAAGAAAAGAAAGGATTACTTATGAAATCTACCAAGAGGAAAGAAAAATCATAACTAATAAAAGAACATCAATGCAAAGCTATGATGAATAGGGATGGAGCGGTTCCACTATGGAACCAGTTCTAAACCGAACCGGGCGAACCGGCTCCCACGTGTTTTACATCTATATGAGAAATTCTGTGTCAATGTTTCCTTAAAAGGAAGAATCGACTCGGAATAACGTGACTTATTAATTCAAACAAATAAATATTGTAAATGACGGACAAATAAAGCTGGCTGGCCACATTCATAATGAATAATGTCTATATCAAAATAGCTTATAAAAGCACAACAGCTCATGTTAGAAAATAATGTTAATATTATATTATCAAAATCTTCATAATAGTAATAGTCATTTATATCTTGGTCCATGAAGATTCCTGATTGTTCATCCATTTTCTAAAAGTGTATGTATATTGAAGGTAATTAAAAAATTTTATTTTTAAAGAGAAAAAATTGCAATAAGCAATTACATAGGTAATTAAAAATAATTGATTTAATTGACGATCCGCGAATGAAGCAGAGAATTCTTGTAGGTGCAAAAATGGTAAAAAATCGTCAGTTGACAATGTTTAACAAATAATAAAATACAATGTTTTGGTATTACAAACTTTATTCTTTTTATGTACGTATAAATATCCTGGATCGCCATTATCCCGTTTTAACAACCATGTTCTCTCATATGTTGTGATTATTCCATATTTCAATATCTGACAAGTATCCCGTGATTCGTCTAACTACAACCTTAGCATTTTGTGCCTGTCGATTCTCACTTGTTCCAACTTTTGAATGTATGTATAAAGTAAATCTCAAACTATTATATCAAAATATTAAAGGGCTTAGAATGTTTCTTGAAAACTTTTATACGTAGGAAGCTGCTTCTACGTGAAAAATTTCTTTATCATCGAATAACCGGACACCTCCCAGGATTGTTGGAATAATTAAAGAACAATTGTTGAATAGTCATTTGCAATTATAATCATATACTATTGCTTACCTCTTATATCGACCTTAACAATAACAGAGTTTGCAATTGTTTTCGTTAATTTTGATGCTGGTGAATGTTATTCGATCCAATCAAAACACATATTACCAAACGTGACTTCATAAAATTTGAACAAAGAAGAAATGTTTTGAACGATATACTTTCGTTCTCCAATTTTTCTTGACAAATTTGGAAATATATCGACCATATTGTAGCTAGAGTCAGGAAACAGTGTTAAGTGTCAAATCATCTAAAGAACAACAACAAATGGGAAAAAAACTTACAAGTCTATTAATTAATATCTTCTCACAATAAAGGCGAAACATGTTGTTTTCATCACCATCAATTTTTTGTATTATTTCTGACTTAAAATTATTTCCAGTTTTCTATAACATGGTAGCAAAGATGTTAAAAATTTATTGGCTTCTGATATAACATTAATTGATGTTGCGAAAACCCACCTTCAAAACATTATCAATATAAGTATTTAAAGATTCCGTCCACACAGGTGGTCTCTGAACTACAACTTGATCATATTTCAATAATTTCCTCATGGCATCAAGATACTGAACAATCCTCCCATTATTCATCTGTCGTTTTGTTTGGAGTAAGAAAAATTGCAGCTTCATTATAATTTCGTGGCGAGTGAAACAGTATTTCTGCTTCATTTTCTTCATTTTGCACCTAGGTGGTAATAAAGTTTTGTCAAATTAGAAAATTAGCTACATATTCAACAATTAAAAGCTTTAGAAAAAATCACCATACCACGTCTAAATACCCTGACTCTGTTACTATTTCGAATTCATTATTGGATCTTGATATCAAAAAAGGATTATCATAGTTGATCCTGGGAAGCGGATGATTTTTCACCTGGTGCCCAAAAAGGATTATCTTCGTTAACATCGTCATCATTACTATCCTGTTTGTATTGCAAGGGTAATCAATTAAAATTTTGTTAGACTAGCAACAATAAAATCAATGAAAGTTATTACCTTATAAGTTCTGGTACGTTTTGATGTTCTTTCGTTGCTATTATCAAGGAATCTCTCTGCAATGCTGGTGGTAGTTGACATGGCATATTCTTGAATTTGTTCTGTTGCCACCGTAGCAATGGATATATGCTGGGCTATCTGTGTACAGGAATGAATCAAAAATGAATTTTCGTCCATCACGTTAGATTGTTAGGGGATAGTAAAATATCTGCAATTCCCGAACTTTCATCCTTGCTTTTTCCTCTTGTAAATTGGTTTTATCTTCAATCAACTTATTTCTCATCACAATATTTTGTCTTTTATCTTGAATTTTCCAAAAATGCTTTATTGGTGATGACCATTTGCTTACCTACAAGCAATATAAAACAGAAGTCCTGAATATCTGTGCTTAATAGACTTTGTTTGATAATTGGACCAATTTACATACAAGCAAAAATAACAAAGAATAGGAGATATCACAAACAATCAAGCACCCAGATTGTATTCAATTATTGAATAACTATCTTTCGCGAGCACTATGTTTCCCAAAGCCCATTGAGTATAGCTCATCAACAGACAAGCAGTCATTCCTACTACAAGCGCGACGGGTTGTAGAGTAGTTGATGTACTCATGATCCTAATCCAAAATAGTATGTACAATTTACTTGCCTTAAAAGCTTTTTTCCACCCTAGCACTTCTTGTCAAGTCTCGGATACTTCAGTGTAGAATTTACTGATTTCATCCAGTTCGTTATTGTAGCGATTATGCTTAGTTTTCATGTCTTCTAAATTGCCAGCAGAAAGTCGAAAATCTAAAAATTCTTTGAGCGAAGGCTCGTCTGTACTCTTCCAAAAGACTAAATGATCACAAGTGATAGGTTACGTTATAAATCATAAGAACATCGGTACATATTAGGAACAAACTTTACCAGGGTATTTTACAGCATTAAGACATTCAGGAAGAAGGTATTGATTGACTAAAAGATTGTAAATTTCCATATAGAAATACAAAAATCAACATAACGAACGGGCTTAAATATGATTGGTTGATCTACAGAAATTATATTTACATTATTAATTTGAATCATCTGGTTTTGCAGTTACCAAAAAATCTGTATCCAATAACACATATAGCCTAGATTCTGTTTAATATACCACCAAATTAATTTTAAAAAATGGAGAGGTGATTAGGAAGTTATATGGGAAGCGCTTTTTTGTAGATGAAATGCAAAATTATTAATTTCATTCAATATACATTTTTTTTATTTTAATAGTTCAAATAGAATAAATAATAGGCCCAATACTGCGATTTTGAAGGAAAAGATGGTAAACGTTCAAATAATTATCACAATTATTTCAAAACGTTCAGATATTTATTTAACAATGTTAATGAACTGATAATTTTATTGTTGTAAATTATACAAAAGTTATCTTTATTTGTTTGAATTTTACTTCTTTAAATAATAAAAATACAATTCTTAAAATCTAAATATAAATCAAAAGAAAATAAATAAATATATAATATATATATTGTATGGAAGCTTATAGACTTCCGGAAAGTATCATAATTTAAAGATAACTTCTTTGATTATAAATAATATAAATATAATAATAATATGATTATATTCCCCACAATATAACATAACAATATA